ATATATATACTATATGTAATACTAATATATATATATATATATATATATATATATATATATAAACCTTATTTGTATATATTCTGAGGTATACCCTAGGTTCTTCAACAAAGCTGGATGCATGGAACGCAGAATGACATTCCCCACATCAAGGATCAACTTACTCATATGCTATGTATCGGATGTAATCATTTCTCTTTGTTGTCCGTTTTCTCAGCGCATATTCAAAATCCGTTCTGCGCTTCACAATTGCTTTGATCTCTGCTGCTGAGAAGATGCCCTTGTGTTGGAATTCATCCAACTCCGGGAGCATCTCCTCCAGAAGCTTATGTACCGCTTCCGCCATATTGATGTACGCTAACAACCACTACAAGTATTAAGCTTGGTTTATATGTCGACCTATATATCGACCAGTAGACCGTTATATTTTACAAGTAGCAACTAACCTCAAGGTATGGCTGTACGTCAAGGTGGTGCACGCTATATCATTCAACAAATCCGTATGTATAACCCAAGTTTGATTTGTGATTTTGAGGTTCGGGCTATAGCGCGTCGTCCATGTGTTCGTTATTTCAATAAAATGGACCGTATATAGGGTTTTAGAGTTTAGACCTTAGACTCGTTACATAGCCCCCTGAAAAAGAAACACTCATTAGCGTTTAGGGTTTTCAGGTCTCTTGGGTTTTTAGCACATGAGATCAGCGGTCAGCCATCACATGTAGCCTCATAAAAAAAAAGGTAGGAGGCTATGATTCGCCATAGGTAGCCTGTTCTATTTAGTAGGCTATGGTTCAGCGATGACTTTCACCTAGACCCCCTATGTTCATTGGAAGACTAAAAATTCAAAGTACATTACATGAGTATTTAGCTTCATTATGAATATACATCTTTATATAGGCTTTTATAGCTTTACTATACATAATATAGGGTTCATGTTTTTATTTCGCTTGTTGAACAAAATAGAACAACGAAGTAGTATTTACACACCATGCCAATAACTAGAATACATAATAAATACATACATACAAAATACACAAATCGTCTGTAAGTGCGTTTCTCAGCAACACGGTCCAACTCTGGGAGCTCAAGGTACAATAAACAGGTGACATATAATCCGAGTAAACCTCGGATGACATTATATTATAGTATGATGACCCTCTATGAATAGTTGTATGAAAGTGTATAGATAGTATACAGTCTCTAGATATGTAGTAAACTACCACGCACCCCTATCACTCAGCATATCGAGAATGGGCGACCAACGCTACTTTGTATTTTACACAGAGTAGCGACAAGTACCCAATAGCTACTATATCGATAACTCTCGTTGACATAGTTGTGCCTATGTGTAAATCTCGAAAGCTCACTAACAAAGTACTGCATGGAAGCTACTGAAGTATCGAAGATCAATTCACATCATTTCAAAAAGGCAACACCTGACGTGGATACAACTTACGGACACTATACCCCCCCATTTCCCCCCGCCCTGCCCCTCAACTAACAAACACAAACACAACCTCGCACAAAACAACGTACATAGACATAGACATAGACACAAACACAAACACAAACACAAAAACAGTCACAGACATATATATATATATATATATATATATATACATACATACATACATACATAAATACATATATACATACACACACACACACACACACCACACACACACACACACACACACATATATATATATGTATATATA